CACTTCGGAGCTCATCTTCGAAGCTAAAATCTTCTGAATGAAATTTCGTCGAACAGTTCGTTCATTAACACTATTATTGCCAAATGCCTGTTTAATTTTTGGGCTGTTTCGGCAGAACTTCGGTTCAATTTGAACTCGTAGAGAAAAATTGGTCAAAAATCCCTTAAGGACATCATATGGTAATAAGATAAAAAGAAGCAAAAAATTAAAATTTGGAAAGAAATTAACAGCATCAATTTATAGAGAATATAATTCTCTATCGATCAGTATTATACCACGATAAAGTAGAATAAATATTTATTGGGATATGGAGCTACAAAAACACATGACATTAAAACGGACAACTTAATACCTACTTCAAAATGTGCTTAATTATCATACCAAATAATTGGTAACAAATTGCTAACAAAAATTCAGATTCTGATGAAAAACAAGAATGAAAATATTGACTCGAAATGTGAAAACAAGTATATCTGTTTTGTCTGTTTTTCCGTTAACCGATTATCATCCCCCTACGAACAACAACTCTCAAAAGTTGAAACTTGTGCGAGCTAAGGACTAACAACGTCTTACCTTTTAACGTGTGATTCCTAACATGGGTTGGACGATAGGAAAATCGATCGTCCGGCCTTGCGGTTTGAACCACAAGTTCGCACGGCGGAGGATTGAGAGTAGAGCAAACCACCCACATCAAACCACCAAACTACCGACCCAACAATCACAAATTTGTAATGTGGCGAAGAATTTGATATTATTCAAAAGTGCGCCACTTAGTAACAAAATGAAAGTAGTTAAAAACTCGACTAGTTTTACTAATTAATTATACTAATTTGTAAGAAGTTCGATAGTGGTAGTTGAACTTAGGGCTTGTAAACCGATAATCATGGATTTAAATCACACCGACTACAGTTTTTCAACCTTCTTTTTAAAGAATTGATTTTTAAACTATTTGAAATTGAATAAATTAAATGGAATAAAAAAAGTGTTGGAATGTGAACTGAATTGCAACTGTCACCTGTATATTTGTATTCCTCAAGTTTATTAAAGTTCTACTTCAACTTTGCTAGTTCACTACGATCCACAGTTTCAAGTATAATCTACAACAGGTTATGGGCCCAGAAACACATTAGTGAAATAACGGTAAATTAAGTTGAAGTAAGAAATAAACTTGTTCACTGGAAGGCATCAGTTTGTCACTGAGTTGCGGATTACACAGTTTTTCGAACACTGTTGAAGATGGAGATTACGAAAGTGGTAATCGAGAAATTGGAAGGGCAATCCAACTGGCTTGATTGGAAATTTCAAATCAAAATCCAGCTGCACGCATATAATGCATGGGATGATGTTTTGGGCACAGTTGAATCTCCAGTCAAACCAGCAGAGACAGCAGATGAGGATGTTAAAGAAACATACGAATGTTTGATGAAGTCTGCAAACTGAATTGAATACACATCCCAGAATCTCATTGTTTCTAATCTGAGTTCACAAGTCAGGCAGCTGATAAACATGTGTAATAGTTCAAAGTAGATGTGGGATAAGCTTTTAAGTATCTTTGAGCAAAGAAGGGAACAAAAACAAGACAGACTATTCAACAAATTCTTTGGAATCAGAGAAAAGGATCCGCTAGAAAGCATAGATAAACACATGGCAAAACTCTAAAAGTTTTGGATAGAACTTCAAGACGAAACTTGGAAAGAGAACAAAGTGAAGTTGCCGGATTCATTATTCATCAATAGACTATTCAATACTTTGCCTCAAGATTATTTTGCATTCCTGAATGCATGGGAGTCTGTCCCTAAGGAGCAAAGAACCATTCAGTTACTTCGTGGAAGATTATGTATCGTGGAAATGCGACTTCAAGAACGGGAAGAAACTAACGATAGTTCTACTGAATGAGCATTAGTAGTATCGAAGAGAGTTCAAGATCGATCCCCACCAATAACATCAACCCTGCACAAGAAAGATAATGCGAAGAAGAAGTTTACTCCGAAATGTTATCGATGTGGTCATAGAGGACATTTAAAGAAAGACTACCAAAGATATCAAAACGAATGTTACTTCACTACAAGGTTCAGCATTCATTTTACAACCTTTTCAATTGGACCTACGTCCAAACGTTAGTTGGATTGCAGATTCAGGTGCCACTCAACATATGACCATGCATCGAAATTGATTTTCCACTTTCGAAAACTTCCCAGTTTCCCAGTCAGTTATTGTTGGTAATGGTCAGTCAGAGTATGCAGGCTCTCGGAAAAGGAAATATAAATGTTCAAATGTTCATCGATGGAAAATGGATAACAAATCTTCAAGATGTGTGGTACGTACCTGATGTAGGGAGGAATCTGTTTTCAATACTTTCTGTATATTACTGAAGTTTTTTTCCCAACACCAAATCGTGCATCATAAATACTTTCTGTAGTTGATGAAGGTATGACGTCAACACTGAACGAACTTTGCAACATTTCTAAAGTTGAGAAGGTTGTAGCCACTGGATAAAAGATAAACTGGAAGAATTTCTGTCAAAAGCAAAAATAACTGGACATTCTGTACAGGAATTATTAACTGATGGTGGTAAAAAATTCGATAACACTAATATAAAGAAGATAATCACAAAGTATGGTTAACATCATCGAATCATCATGCCTTACACACCTGAACAGAATGCAGCTGCAGAACGAGAAAACCGAACTCGTTGAAGCTCGCAAGTTACTTGCAAAAAATCTTCCTGAATACCTTTGGACAGAAGCTGTTAATACTGTTGCATACGTTTTAAATAGAACTGGTCCCACATTGACAGAAGGTATGACACCTATGATGATTTGGACAGGAAAACAAGCTCCTGTGGATCATTTGAAAATTTTCGGGACAGAAAGTTTTGTTCATGTTCCGAAACAGAAACGTTCCAAATGGGAAAGGAAGAGTGAGAAAGGTTATCTGGTTGGATATATCGAAGACAAAGATGGATATCGAATATGGTTGTTACACGACAGAAATGACGTTGTTCGAAGTCGTGATGTTATTTTCAAAAAGGAAATAGCTGTCAAAGAAAGCACTGTCATATTTGAAGACACTGTCGCAAGTATAAGTTCCGAAAAGCAATCAGTATCGATTGATGAACGTACTGCTTCGGGTAAAATGGGACCAGAAACAAGCATTAGTCTGCCAGTTGATCGTCCCGCTCTTCGAGACAGATTTAAATAGCAAAAACCTGAAAGGTACGATGCTTTTGCTATGCTTGCTATAGAAGAACCCAATACTGTTGACGAGGCCTTCTCATCTGATGAATCTGAGATGTGGAGAAAACAATGGACGAAGAAGCAGTCGCTAGTAGAAAATGACACCTGGATATTAGTGGAAAAGCGTATTGGAAGAAAAATCATTGAAAATCGTTGTTTATTTACAGTTATAAAAAACCCAGAAGGAGATGTTAGATTCAAATAAAGGTTAGTTGCGAAAGGTTTTTCTAAAGAAGCTGGTATTGACTTTGATGATACGTTTGCACCAGTTGCTCGATTTGATACTATAAGAACAGTTGTATCAATGTCTGTGTTTCTGAAAATTTGCACTTATCACAATTTGATGTGAAGACGGCCTTTTTTTACGGATTACTAGACAAAGAACTTTATATGGAGCAACCGGATAACTATCACGACGGTACTGATAAGGTATGCAAGTTACTGCGTAGTCTGTATGGTATAAAACAGGCACCTCGTTGTTGCAATTTACGCTTCACCGAATTTCTGAAGAAAAAAGGATTCCAGCAAAGTTCATCAGATGCATGGTTATTCATCAGAAAAGAACCAGATAAATTACTTGTTGTAATTTATGTTGACGACAGATTAGTATTGGGAACTGATTTAAAAAGCAATAAAACATTTCTCAATGAAATGAAAACTGAGTTTAAGATAACTGAGTGCACAGCCAGAAAATATCTTGGGATTGAAATAAATAAATCAAACGAAGGTGTGTTTCTGAGCCATGAAATATACATTGAAAAACTTTTACAAAAATTCAATTTATGTCAGTGTAATCCTGTCAAAACACCAATTGGCGATGAGTTTCAAGATAAGGATATTCTTCCGAATATTCCTTTCAGATCAGCCGTAGACAGTCTTATGTATTTATCAGTAGCTAGAAGGCCTGATATAGCCTTTGCTGTTCACTTTGTAGCACAAGCAGTGTCGAAACCGAAGTATCATCACTGGGAGATAGTGAAAAGATTATTGAAATATCTTCGAGGGACAATTGACTATGGCATTAGTTATAAAGCTGACACACGTTCTCTCCAAGCTTACAGTGATTCCAATTATTCAGGTGATTTAGCTTCGCGTAAGTCAACTTCTGAATTTGTCTGCAAGTTAAATCAAGGTTCACTAACATGGTTTAGTCAAAAACAACGGTCAGTTTCATTATCACCGTCGGAGGCAGAGTACATTGCAGCGAGTGGAGCCGCTAAGGAAATTACCTGGTTGAATGGTCTTCTTGATGAAATTTATACATGTGTAAAGACCATCCCAATATTATGGATTTACCACGCTGGTGCTGTAAAGTTGGTTCACAATCCAGAATTTCATAAAAGATCCAAGCACATAAACGTTCGATACCATTTTATTAGAGAAAAAGATTTCAAGTACGACATATAGCAGGCGAGGATCAGATAGCGGCTATTCTCACCAAACCACTGAGCAGAACTCGTTTTGAGAAGCTGAGAGATCTACTGGGTGTTATTAAGTGCAGACCACTGCACTTCAGTTCAAGGGACAGTGTTGGAGTATGAACTGAATTGCAACTTATATTCACCCTGTATAGTTTTATGTGGTTGCTAAATGCTGTTATTGAAAAGTTTAGTTTGTCAATTATTTTTAATTCAAAGTTTGACTGTCGCGTGTATATTTGTATTCCTCAAGTTTATTAAAGTTCTACTTCAACTTTGCTATTTCACTACGATCTACAGTTTCAAGTATAATCTATAACAAAAAGGAAATATTTTTGAATGCTTTTTTAGGTAACTTTTTGTTATAAAATTTAATGGCATTACTCTCATTTGGGATATCCTCCACGAATAAATCTCACAAATCTTTCAATTTAAACAGGATTCCTATAGCTGGGATTGAACCAAATAAGCGAATGAATGTCATTACCTACTGTCATTGATGACATAAGTAGATTTAACTCTTTCGTGATATGAAGTCGTATAGTTATGAATAAATTGAGTGATTCATCTTATAATGTTATCCAGAGTGGTGCTGAAGAGGCAATGGAGGGCAAATGTCTCATTCCGAAACATCGGATGTTCGCTATTGAGGGTGACAGTGTTGAAACAACCTAATATAAATTCTCGAAGGTTAGGTTAGGTTAGGTTGAAAATGAGTGGGTCTATTCGAATTTCCACCGCAACCCGCAAGGGTTTATTATGGTTCACACCTATTCACACTCGACCAAATAAACACAGCTTCTTAATGAAGCCGACTAGTTTGTATGGTGAGTGGTCTTTCAGGTCAGATGGTGAGAGTACGGCTCTGCCGAACTCTAAAAACCTGATTCGGTCCCCAGCGGGGCAGGCGCAAAGTATGTGCTCTGCTGTTTTATCATTTTCCAATCAGAGGCGACATACATTAAGTCCGAGTCTCTGCATAAGATGATTCAAATGACAGTGACTTGTAAAAAGGCCTGTTAGACATCGTAGTTCATCCCTAATGTAGTCCAACAACTGTTTGGTATCAAGCTTCGAAGGGTGAATAAACGCCTTGGAGTGAGCTAATCCTGGAAGATTCTGCCAGAAGTTCTAAATCTTCTTGCCATCCAGGTGTTCAATCTTTGTTTGGCAAAGTCTAAAGCGGTGCCAATGACCGGTTCTGGTCCAACGAAGCTGCTTGCAGCACCCTCCTTTGCAAGGGAGTCAGCAGCCTCATTGCCTTCCAGGCTAGGAATCCAGACCACAGACAATCTGTTAAGTCTTCCTATTGAGGAGAGTTTTTTGTCGTTGCTCAGTAGAAGCCAAGAGCTTCCAACTCCGCTTGACTATCCGAGAATATTTTTATTGACTTTTGTATGAGGTTGGATTCTTCCATAGGTTCCTAGGCAGGTTGATATCTCTGCTCTGGATCTGCAACTGAAAACACCTGCGCCAGAACCGGAAGGTGTTTTCAATCCATCTGTGAACCAACAACTATCTGTTCTAATATTTCCTTCTCGATGGTTACTTGCGAGTGGAAATAGTTCAAACACAAAGGTTAGGTGATGAATTTGCTGATCTGTGATTGCCCTCGAAGGTATTGAGTATGTCATCTTATAATGTTATCCAGACTGGTGCTGAAGAGGCAATAAGACGAGTGTCTTATTCCGAAACATCAGATGTCCGCCATTGAGGATGACAGTGTTCCGTGTGAGTGAAATTCTACCTCTTCTATATACTATAATGTGTAGCAATTCTATGAATGATTTGTGATTCAATTCTATAACGAATATTTGGAGTTCAAACTTAATAGAATTTTTTTTGTACAATTCAATGCTCATAAAAAAGGATTGTTTTCTAAGTATTTTTCCTTCTTGTAATTCAATGTTTATATGAAAGTAGTTGTTTTGAGAGGGTGTTTTTCCAATTTGTGTCTGAAAGGTACTTCTTTGCATAATCTACACATTTTTGTAAAAATTATTTCATTTTAAAATTAGTTGCTTTCTTCCTTTCTTTGGAAGATTACCACATTCTTTTCCATAGAGATGGAGAAGATGAAAGCCAAAACCTTTCTTTTCCAAAAATACAGATATTGTTGTTCCATTAAAAATATTGTAACTTTGGTTCGCTATACTCCAACTAAATTAACATATGAGAAAATAATTTCAATTGATAGTTTTAAAAAACCTTCATTCAAAAATTTAATTAAACAGATCAACTCTGAGGAAATATTATTGTGTGACAATATTTTTCTGATATAAGCTAATGAGTTAATGAAATATGTAATTTGTCCATACATTTCTATAGGCTAGTTTAATGTGGACCTATTTCAGGTGAAACTACATATGCCTGTGTTAGATAATAATAATATTTATTTACAAAAATATCATTTTACACTGGTATGAAGCATAGTAAATATTACAGTCTAGGTATATGGTATATCAAATCATGTATTGTAAATTCACTGAAATGAATGATAATATAATTATTACTTTTGCAAAGTAATCGGGCAGTTTCAAGAAGAATATGAGAAAAAATACAATAAAATATTTCGAAATTTGATTCAACTAATTAGAAACTAACAGTTCTCAAAACAGGACACAACTCTCCAAAAAACTAACTTTTTACTTACATATTATTGCCTGGACTTTGGCTTTATTTAAAGCAGGTTTCACAGGTCTCTCCCCGCTTCCTGCCCTACTCCATCTTTGTCCAGTTACAGAACAAGTAGCTAACTCTGCCGGGCTGAAGAGGATTGTAGCCAATCCTCTTGTTAGTTTCCTATAGTCACTCCATTTGACGCTGCGTAACTGATCTTCATATATTTCTATTCCTTCTCCTAAATTAATCTGTAAAAATTGAATAATCATGAGTTGATTTTTCTGGGACTATTTTCATCTGATCTTTTTCTATTCTCCTACTATGACAGATGCAAGAGAATGCATTTCAGATACCATATATCTTGAAATACAGGGTGTAACTAAATAAGTGTAAACCATTTATTACTGGCTAAGTGTTTTTTGGTAGTACAAAACGTCAGATCAATTTCAATATTGTAACTTTCTCAGTGCTTGTGAAAAAAATTGTTATACAAATTTTATGTACCCCCTTTAAGGGACTGTATCTTAACAAGGGATGCTCCAATGAAGTTTCTTTATATGAAAGATCCTATCTTTTTTTTCGAATATTTTACACTTATTCAGTTACACCCTGTAGATTAATAGTTTTGTAGTTTCACATATTTTTATTAGTTTTTTTGTTTATTTTCATTTGTTGTATTATTCTTAGTGTTTTTTTTTCAATTTGTATGTTACATTATCCATACTATAAACATGTAATGTTTCTTTTGATTGATAAATTCATTCATTCATTCCACATCAATTACAGTAACGACTTGTGATTTTTCATTTTCCTGATAATTTATTAACAAACAAAAAAACGAGAGCATAAAAAACCATTGGAATATTGAATTGATTGTTCGATATATGTGCTCAGTGTAAGAACGTTTTGCGTACCTAGAAGGATACTTTAGGCAGAGATAGATATCTGCTACTGGAAAAAACTATCATCGTGATATTGGGGAATGGGGAACTTTGAAAGGCTCCTATAACAAGTTCGTCGAGGAAATTAGAAAAAGAAAAAAATCCATGAATTTACGAGACCACGATTACAGATGATAAGGGACTGAATGAAGGAGGGCTTGTATAATTCTGAACGAAGAGATTAAGTAAAAAGAGAATTTGTCATGGCCCGCAGAGAAGATGAAAAGGAATCTACCTAATGACCAAAAAAAATTAATGGTCCATTGCATTCATACAACTAAATCCAAGATAATTAATTATTGGATGTCCCAGTAGAAATAATGGCTCTCTCCATCTCAAATGGTTGAATCGGAATTAAGCAGACAAGTTATCTGAGGTCGGAATGACTTGAAGAGGAAAGTAATGTAAGGATCCTGATAATTGGCAAGAATCGTATCTGCCCATCGCAAATATTCTAGAAGCAATGATCAAGCATCATTCTGGAAACTAAAACAAATATTTAGACTATTCGAGAGCCTTCTGTTGTAATCTGAATTACGAAGGAGTTACGAGGGAGTCAGTTTTGCCTATAACCAAAGGTTATAGGCAAAACTGAAGTAAATTAGATAAGGCAAGCGAAGTAAATTAGATAAGATAGATGAGACAAGATACATTCATTTGATGATGTTATATATAAATTACATTTATGACAAGTCAGAAACAGATGGGTACAAGGTACAAAGTTGTGTATAAATAAAAAACAGTAAAATTTGTAACAAGTTTACAAGCTACATTACAACATATATTCAAATCAAGTGTGGAGGTTTGGCAAGCATATTCCTTGCATCAAAAGTGTGTCTACGATCATGTTCTGAATATTCTGTAGTGGAATAACACTTTTTTTATATTTTTTTATAACTTGTTTAAAACAAAACATATTTTTAACATTGTCAGGTAGTGCATTATACAATCTGAAATCATAAGAGTTATTTTGTGATTTCATCAGTCTGAAAACGTTGAGGTCTGATGAAATTGTTGTGTGTATCATGATTGGTAAACTGGATTGCTTGGGATCCCTTTTGTGAATACCTAATAGGCTTGAGTAAACATACAAAGAAGGTACCGACATAATTTCATGAGTGATGAATGATTCACGGCAAGAATCCCTTAAACCGAGTCCAGCAATAATTCTCAGAGCTTTCTTCTGTAATATAAAAATGTATTGGGCATCACTAGAATTTCCCCAAAGTAGAATTTCATAAGAAATATGAGACTGTATGAGTGAGCAAAATACTATTTTCAACGTAGTGAAATTTGTTATTGGTTTCAGCTGCCGAAGTAAAAATAAGGCACTCAATAGTTTACTTTTCAAACTTGAAATGTGGCTTGACCAATTCAGTGAAATGGTCGTAGTACTAAAATTTACAAGTTGTAATTTTTGTCATTGAAGAATCCAAGAAATTTTACTACAGTTTGGCTCACGATTCCATAATATTATAATACATAGAGGATTTTTTCAAATAACCAAGGTGAACTTACTTCCGGTATAATCTGTAATGCTATAAAGAACATATTTTAACTTGATTGCTCCTTTCTACTCTTTCATTCCTCATTAAAAAGGATTGACAATATTTCATTCGTTTCCTTTTTTTGCTGAAATCGTTTATAGGTAGAAACGCATTTCAAATTGAATTTCAAACATATTCAAATCTTAGTACTACTACTTACCAGTCTATTTTTTCTTTCTCCTTCTTCTTTGGAACGTATATTTGAAGATGAATCTAGAGCATCAGCCAACATACTTCGTGGTTGCCGAATTCCATTCGACTGCCAGTAATCAGCAGATCGTCGTCTTCGAAATCGTATTTCTAATAAACAAAATAAAACTATTCCTAAATAGGTACTTAGATTTAACTAATCCAACATAAGCATATTACACAGTTATAGTCCGTTCATAATTTGTTGATAGCTCACTGCAAGTTTGACCCTCATTAGAGAACTGAAATACAGAGAGGACAGCTAATATGATATAATAACAAAAACCAAACTAAAACTGGCAGTTTAAGATGTTTTCGACTAACCCACCTTGTATCTGAAGAAATACAATACAGCTATAAAACTTTTAATCCGATTATGTAGGTATTNAAGATGGTTTCCTATGATACCCCTCATTTTGTGCTATCGACAAATTATGAACGGACTATAGTTATGAAAAATAATGTACGAAGTTAGTTATTTAATATGATTATTATATCCAGGCCTCTATAGAAGTATTAATTACGAATGAAAGAACTTAAAAATATTTTTCTCTTTTATATCGATAATTTTTTCTTCAATTTTCTAGTTTATGCTCACCCAAATATCATCTTGAATATTTATAAGAATAGTCTTTTGATCGGGTACTGGATTTCGATATATTTGAATCTATAAGTGATACATTTTAACAAGTGTGGAAAGAACCAGTGATAGCCATGAAAGAAACATCAAATCAAATGTGTATGTATATGTACAGGGTGGCTGATTTTGTCTAATTATGCGATTACTCGACGAAACACTGAAAAATATCACCTGGGTACCTGTTAAGTCATATGTATATTTCAAAAGGTACAGCGATAATCAGATGATATTTTTCAATCCAGAAAACTGGTCAAATCCAGACTGTCCCTATGGACATGTCGAAGGATTTGTAGTAAAACTTGGGGTTTAGGTCCCATTGGATATATATGATGATTGTCAGATCAATGATCACATATGGGACCTGGTGGCCATAAGCTTTTCAGAAAACGGCTCAGGCGAAGCTCTCTGGCTTACAAAGACTGGCTTGTCTGGCTATCTGTGGTGCCATCAGTACCACACCGTTAGCGGCCATGAAGATCCTTCTAGAACTACCTCCTCTCCACATTTTTCTGGAGAGAGAGGCTAGATGGACTCCATATAGACTTGTGTACATCGCCAATTGCACAAAGCAATCTAATGCAGAGTTCTCTAGACTGCTGGTTGACATTGGAAGTCACAGCATTCTGCTAATGACCTCTGACATTATGCCTCCAACTGTTAACTACGAACTGCCTTATACAATACTTTTCCCGAGTAGAGAGGATTGAATCCTCCGGGAGAAGGAAAATTCAAGACCAGAGAGTCGGTTCACAGATGGATCAAAAACACCCTCGAGCTCTGGTGCAGATGTTTTCAGTTGCAGCGGAAATCTGTGCTATTGAATTGTGTGCGGAGAGATTGGTAGAATCCAACTTCACACACAAGTCAATACAAAATTTTCTCGGACAGTCAGGCAGCGTTGGAAGCTCTTGGCTCCTTGGTAGCAAATTGCCAAAAACGGCTCTCCTCAATACGAAGACTCAACAAATTGTCTCTGGTCTGGATTCCTGGCCACACTAGCCTAGAAGGCAATGATCTGTTGACTCCCTTGCAAAGGAGGGTGCTGCAAGTAGCTTCATCGGACCAGAACCTGTCATTGGCATTGCTTTAGGTTTTTGCCAAACAAGTATTGAACACCTGGATGGCAAGAAGATTTAAAGACTTCTGGCAAAATCTTCCAGGGTTGGCTCACTCCAAGGCGTTTATTCACCCTTAGAAACTTGAAACCAAACAGTTGTTGGACTACATACAGTAGAAATGAACTACGATGTCTAACAGGTCTCCTTATAGGTCACTGCCGTTTGAATCATCATATGCACTGTCTAAAGACAGTGTGTGTCGCCTCTGTTTGGAAAATAATGAAACAGCAGAGCATATACTTTGTGCTTGCCCCGCTGCGGACCGAATTAGGTTTTCAGAGTTTGGTAGAACCACACTTCTACCACCTGACCTGAAAAATCACTCACCATATAAACTAATCGGCTTCATCAAGAAGCTGGGTTTATTTGGTAGAGTTTGAATAGGTGTGAGCCACAATAAACCCCTGCGGGTTACGGTGGAGGGACGAATATGCCCACTCACTTTTAACCTAACCTGTTAAGTTAGATGTGTATTTCAAAAGGTACAGCGATAACCAGATGATTTTTTTCAATGTAGAAAACTGGCAAGTTGTGAATGATTTGCTGATTTTATTCATACCTATACATTGATGTTTCAATTCAAGAGATCATAATTTGTTATTTTGGAAGTTTTATATAAGCAATGATTAACTTTCGATTATCATAATACAGGGGGTGTCGATATCAACCTGGAAAAATATTTTGGGGAAGATGATTGAGCAGTAAAGGTCAATATATCTCTGGCTACCTCGTTCGTCAGCTTTATAAACGCCCCTGGACTATTTCTTTTCGGATCTATCAAACACAAATTCTTATGCATCCAGTAATCTACAAGGATTAAATGAAAAAAGTATGAGAGCTGCAGTGAATTCTTTGAATTTTTCTTATATAGAGAGAGAAAGTACATATTCCTTTCCGCTTTTGAGCATCTGTTGGAATACGATCAATATCTATTTCGAAGGTGTTTGAAATTTTTATAAGCTTTAACAAAATGAATAAAAAAATTTCACACCTCATACTCCCTGAATGGAGATCCACTAACATGTGTCACTTCAATGAAGGATCTAGAAGTTATCTTTGACGAACAACTACGATTTATAGATCATATAATTCATTTTGCTATCAATACTTCAAAGCTACTGGGCTTCATATCACGAAACTGCAAACTATCATCAATCATGATAGTTCATATACTGGAACCTCTGGCGTAAAATGAATCTATCGAAAACACTTTCTCAACACGGGAACAAAAAATTACGGTATCTCGACGCGCGTTTCGCTAATCAAGTGAGCGTCCGTAGTAGATCATTATGATTAAAGTTTACTACTATGTTAGTGTTTTTGTATGCTAGTGGCCTAACTACTACCCGTTAGTTGTAACTACTATCGGTTAGTATTACCTAACCTAACCTAGCTGCTACATGTTATTGTTCCTATGCTAAACTACCTGTTTTTTAATAACCGCTAATTTGTTATGTATTTCCTCTATGTTAGTGACTATCCCCTAAATTTTTCCTCTGATATTCATCTATTTTTCATTTAGAATTATTACTTATAAGACCAAGCTTTCGAAGGCATCCAGAAAACTGTTGTCATGTACCGGTCTAAAGAATTTCAAAAATTTTTCACTTATTCTATGGTCGGTCTCTATGACATATCGAGCGACACTAGATTTCTCCGGTCTATGGAACGAACATGCGAAACATGATCCTTTAATTTGATTTGATCAACATATTTCTTATCATAATTCTCTCAGCTCATTCCGTAAATCTCAGACTCTTTTTTTCCAACGGTTTGTTTTTTGTATTGCCCAACACTTATTGAAGTGTACGTGCAGTTTGAAAGCCACTCTTACATTAAATTTTTTTAATGTTCGAATCAATTCATAGGTGTATTTGGGTTCATATAGAGGCACTATGAATTATGAATCTTTCTCTTTTCGAGGAAGATACTTCCTAAATTTTTGTCTTCTGATTNAACCGAGTCCAGCAATAATTCTCAGAGCTTTCTTCTGTAATATAAAAATGTATTGGGCATCACTAGAATTTCCCCAAAGTAGAATTTCATAAGAAATATGAGACTGTATGAGTGAGCAAAATACTATTTTCAACGTAGTGAAATTTGTTATTGGTTTCAGCTGCCGAAGTAAAAATAAGGCACTCAATAGTTTACTTTTCAAACTTGAAATGTGGCTTGACCAATTCAGTGAAATGGTCGTAGTACTAAAATTTACAAGTTGTAATTTTTGTCATTGAAGAATCCAAGAAATTTTACTACAGTTTGGCTCACGATTCCATAATATTATAATACATAGAGGATTTTTTCAAATAACCAAGGTGAACTTACTTCCGGTATAATCTGTAATGCTATAAAGAACATATCTTAAGTTGATTGCTCCTTTCTACTCTTTCATTCCTCATTAAAAAGGATTGACAATATTTCATTCGTTTCCTTTTTTTGCTGAAATCGTTTATAGGTAGAAACGCATTTCAAATTGAATTTCAAACATATTCAAATCTTAGTACTACTACTTACCAGTCTATTTTTTCTTTCTCCTTCTTCTTTGGAACGTATATTTGAAGATGAATCTAGAGCATCAGCCAACATACTTCGTGGTTGCCGAATTCTATTCGACTGCCAGTAATCAGCAGATCGTCGTCTTCGAAATCGTATTTCTAATAAACAAAATAAAACTATTCCTAAATAGGTACTTAGATTTAACTAATCCNATGGAAAGAAATGGTTAATAAGAGGTATTTATCATTCGCCTAATGAAAGCCATTCTGGGTTTCTGAAAATTATTTCTATAACAAAAAGTGTACCTACTCTGATTGGAGATTTCAATATTAATATAAAAAAAGAAAGTTTTTATAGTAAAAAAGTCATAAATATATTCAACTCATTTGGAATTGATCAACTTGTTACTGATTACACGGGAGTGACAAATAACAGCAAAACTCTTATTGATTATGAGATTTCTAATGAATCAAATATACGAACTGCTGTACATGATGTACCAAAAATTTCTGATCATTGTATAATATGTATTCGTGTAAGAAATATTAATGAAAGTATATATAAAGAAATCAATTTAGAACTTCTCTCTGTTAATTGGAACTTGAATACAACCAATGTGAATGAAATATTGGATGAAATACAAACAAACTGTAATTGTGAACAAAATAACACCTGAAAAGCAAATACAAATTAAGTCAAATCAATTACCATTGTATGACAGTGAACTGAAAACATTATCAAGAGAAAAAGATATAGCTTATAAAAATACTATAGAAGTAGGTAGGTATCTACTCCTCCGGCATACCTTATAGAAGAATTAGCTTGTTCTATTTCTTAGTCTATTCATTTCATTGATGGCGTCATTATTACATGGCCGAGTCCCAGTTAATTTCGAACAGTCTAATTCTTCTATCAGAAAGAATGTTGTCTGCNACCTTGCCCGGAGTTTCTCGAGAGAATACACTTACCTTCAATCATACAAACTATGGAATGCATTCTCCTATTGATCGTTCACTTAGAACGTTCAAATAAAAACCTAGATCTAGAGATCACAGGTATAGATCTGTCACCATTCAAATGTCTTTTGAGAGGGACTTGAAGATTAATTGATCCACACCAAATTTTTAATGTATTCACTCGCCATTTATCTCTGTATTTTGAATTGTATAATCTATCATTCTGTTTATCTTAATGCTTTTGCTCATCTTCACGTGCTTGAGTTTACTTCAAGTCTTACTTTTACACTTTTAGTCTTTTCTTTAATTTCTAAATTGTATATGAATATTCATTATATTTGATGATTGTACTATTTATAAAAGGGGTGATCCCGTGCAACGAATAAATAAATTTCCCTATAACTATTTTTATAACTCAAATGGACTTCAGTAAACATCTTGCACAGATACAAGGTATTCTATCTATCTTCACCTCTATTTCTGTATTGTATTCATAATAATTAATTCACTGTCGAAGATATTTGTCCTGTGTTTGTCGGTCGCGTCTCCAGGTTTTATGCCTGGCGTTTCGACTACGACTGTGGTAGATATTATCGAAGGGGACGAGGTAACAGACGCAGTGTTCTACATACTATATGTTGTATGTATGTATGATGAGAAAGTATGCTGTAGTAGAGAGGCATTACAAATTCTGACCTTGAGAACAAAACGTGTTATGTTCAAATGATTAAGGTCCAAAAGAAATTTTAGATATTGAGGTCTGTATTTTAGATGCACCGTTGACATTTGATATCAGTTCATATCACTTCTTATCACATTAAAATTTCCTCAACAGAACCTCGCCAGGAAGGTGGATGGAAAATAATAGTCATATTAAATAGCTATTCAATAAAGTAAACAAAGTGTGCCCCAGCTATCAGACCATGAATGCTAGAATCCTTCTCAAGAACAGATATTTTTTGTGAAAGGAAGGACTACATTCGAATATCTGGTCATGTATTTTCATATAGAGGCAACTTTTGTCTTATTTCACCTCACTCCCTTTTCTGAAATAGCAATAAAGGTATCAGGTAAAAAACAATGTGTCAACATATTTTTGTAAAAAGGTGAAGAGGTTTGTAACAAATAATGCAGTCTCATTCGAAAGTCTATATTAGCTTTGCAAAAATGGATACAACCTCGGACTTGAAGCAATCCTATCTAAAAAAGAACTTGGGTCAAATGAACCTTAGTGATAATGATATAATCACTTTTGATTTGAATATATTCCTACTCTATCATACTTCGGGGGTACATTATTCTTATGAATAGCATTAACGTCAAAATATTTGATATTATGAAAAGTTCTTATATCATTCGGCATGCTAGTCTTGAAATAACCTATATTTAGACCACTATGGGCACTCATGATGTGTCTGCGCAAGTAAAGATCCGTTTTGAATTGCTTGTGGCAGAAACTGCACTGCACGTAAGTAGGATAATGGATGAGCCTCATGTGCTGCCGCAAGTTGGAGAGGTTGCTGTATATTTTACCGCATTCATCGCAAGGTCGGGGGTCCAGCGAGTGCAGCTTTCGAATGTCAGTGCCTGCAACAAACCAATTTTCATGAAAATATAGATCGTTGCAAACACGACTCACGCTGGAACCCAGCCATGAGAGAATGCAATAAAAATTAGTGAAAACAAATTGTGAGCAATGTTAGATGTTTGGACTTGAATTGTATAAAAAAGGCAGTTGAATGAATGAAAAACTCGGGTGAGCTAGTGAAAAAATGAAAATAATAGATATTTGAAAAAAATATGAGTTTGAAATGTCACTAAAACATTAAAGCACAGTATTCCGTAATTGAGTTTTAAAATGATGCAAATGATCAACGTTACTATTGGCTAATCGTAAGATTCTTGGAATGCATCTATTGAATTGGTTCAATCGATAAAATGGTACGTAAAATGTTTGTTGCTGTCGAGTTGAGCGGTTTTGAACATGTAGATACATTTTTTATAGCAGCACAACTAAATTTGCCGTTATGAATATTGAAAAGTAGTGTCAGATCTCTCTGTTTCCTCTTAGTTTCCAGGGAGGACATGCTCAGAGATTGCAGTAGAACTCATACTTGAAACGAACACCCGATTCATATGCTATGTATCTGAGGAGGTTGTGTTACAAATTTTCGATGTTCTTAATATAAGGTACACACTCAGGGGACCAGACAGAAGAACAATACTCCTGGTGTGGACGGACCAGTGAACAATAAAGGGCTTTAATAGCAGTTGGGTCAGTGAATTCGTAGGTTAGCCGTTTGATAAATCCTAGCATTTTCATGGCTTTATGGATAGCCGTGAGTATATGTAGATTGAAGCTCAAGGTGGGATCAAGAACAACCCCAAGGTCTTTAATTTGATTAACAGACTCCATTCAAAATGCAATCAAAAGTGGTAGAAGGTACATGATAGGATAAAAGCGCATGACATGGCACTTTGTGGCATTCAAGTCTATGCCATTTAAGGCCATCCACAATATGTAAATTATTCAGCTGCTGTAAGAAGAAACCTCCAAAGAAAAAAGGCCCTCAGTTGGGGAATTAGACAACATCGAAGTCACACAACAAGATCAATTAATCAGGTTAATTCAATATTATTCAAAGCCAGCTATTCTAAGACAACGATCTGGAAGTAAAAACAAGATTACCAATAAGAGGAATCACGGAAATACTAGAATGATGTGTCCAGAACTTGTTTCAGTGGAGGTACGAAATCATGCAAAACGGGGGACTAGTAAAAGAATGAATCACCATTTTAAGCGGTCATAGTGAATATATACATCTGATCATTGAAAAGATGGCTATGGAAGGAGCCCACAAGAAGACCTGTGTCAGGTTTAGATATGTTGATGACACCTTCTCAGTATACACCAAGAAGACAGAACTGTTTTGTGCTCAACTGCAAGAAACCTTCCATAAAATTCAATACAGAAAGAATCCCAAAATAAATTGGCGTATCTAGACGTGATGGTGGAGAGGACACAGAATAGTTGATCCGAAACCAAACTCATCCATATCAGGAAGGAACACTGTTTCAAATGGAAAAATTCAAAGCAGCAGCTTAAATATTTACTAATTCAAGATACATTCAGCCGAAGAATACAAAGCCCATAGAAGCTGATAAGTACGATTTTAGTATGTATAATACCCACCATGACCACTAGGGAGTGATGGCAGTACGATGTCGATATTCAATGTGGATACCAACATAATTGGGTAGCAGTCGCTGCCAACCAGTTGGTGGGATCATATCGAAATCGGAATGTACGCCAAATATAGCACTGTACTACTTATATCTGAATTGGGCTTGCCTGTGTATATACATAAATAAATAAATGAATAAATAAAATCGTACTCATATGAAGATCCACAGCGTAAGGAAATCGTTAATCAAGAGCAGAAGGGGACTGCAGTGCATTCAGTGCACGTAACCAGCACAAAATACTTTGGAAAAGTTATTTCAAACTGATTTCGGCGTACGAAACAATGGAATATTCAATAGAGTATATACTTTGAAAGCAGAAAAATATTTTTTTTTCTAAAGGTTTTTTGTTGCCTTATTTAAGGAAAATTCTATTTTCATTCTCTTTTTTTATTATAGTTCATGATCCTTACCTGTGAAAATAAAATTGTTCAATCAAATTTCGAGTTTTTATTCAAACTTAAAAATAACTCATTAGTTACTAGTGATACGAATAATTAAACAGTTCATTTTGCAAAATATGCTAGCTCTTTGGTTGTGAAATGAAGCCAAAATGATTGGCAGAGAGTATGTATGGTGAATATTTTTTTGGTGTTTGAGTTAGAGAATTATTTGTATTACAATTTTGATTCGTTTAAGGAAAATTAACCCCATCTATGAGGTTGATTCGATGTGACAACTAGCATGATGTGGCAATATTACAGATGTTTTCTAGATATACGATACATCTCATTGGCATCACAGTGTAACGTTTCACTGATATCACAATCTGATATATTATTAGTATGTCAAAAGATACAGATGTTGAATGATCAAAACAATACATCTTTTTTTATGAGGCACTGTTTGGAACCTTTGGTGTAGTAATGAATATTACTGGAGTTTTTTCCCAAACACCAAATCGTTATTTTTAACACCTCGACACGTGTTTCGATCACCAAGTGATCATCTTTAAAGAGGAAGATTAAAACTAAGGACTAGTGCGAGCTAATCCTATTTATGCTATAAAGGTAACTCATACAGGTAAACCATCCAGGCATACCAACCTAAATTCATTTTACAATTTTGCCTTATCTATTATTTTACAATATATGTTTATATAAAACAATTTTCAGCTATATAAAAATTAATTTCACAATATTGCCTATCCAAATTTATTTTTGCAATGTGTCCTTATGTAGTAATC